TTTCATACTGCATGACTTCTTGTCTGATATATTAATGTGGAGGTCACCGTCAAATCACATGCAAAGTCCTGGGCCAAGATTTTCAAAAATTGAGACCTAACTTTAGGCTCCTAAGTAATTCTCTCAGCACATAAGTACCTGGCCTGATTTTTCAAAGGGCTGAGCATTCAGCACTTGCCATTTCTTTCAAACAGAGCTGCTGGTTGCTCAAGATCATTGAGAATCAGGGGTGAAATCCTGGCCTATTGAAGTCAATGGCAAAATTTCCAATGACTTCAGAGGGGACACGATTTCACCGCAAATGCCTGAGTACAGACTTAGGAACATAACTTCAGCGGTGCAGACCAAAAAGTTTAAATAAAGCCTTGGGCATCCAGCCATATCCACTGCAGGCAGAGCGCTCAGCCTGTCTGGAAATCAGGCCACACATGTAGGTGTCTAAATATGGACTTAGAAGAGAGATGGGCAATTTTTTTATCCAAAACATTTTCTCCCTGAAAATTGCAGATTCATGTTTGGTGAATTCATGTCAATTATGGCAGTTGTTCTGGCTGAAACAAAAAAAGAAAAAAATTGGAAAATTATATTATCTAACTTTTTTTAAAAGCCCTAGTCCCCAGGCTATAGAGTCAGACACACTCTCTTTCTCAGGCTGAGGGACTATCCAAGTATTTTAAACAGAAGTGGAGGAAAAGCTTCAATAGGAGAAATTGAGAGACCCCAATAGCAGAATATCCTACTGGCTGGTAGTTAAGGAACTCACCTGGAGGGGGAAAACCTGGACTCAAGTCCTTGTACCAAAGCAGGGATTCAAACTGGGGTCTTCCACATTCCTTGTGAGTGCCCCAGCAAGTGGGTGAATGAAATGTTGACCTCAAAGGCAATTTTTCTGACTTTTCAAGTAGATGAAAAATTTTGGTTTTAGTTCAGCTCAAACCAATTTTTTCCCCATTTTTCAGAATGGCCAGTGAATCAAAAAATCAGTTAGCACACAGCTCGACTTAGAAGCCTAATATCAGTCCCTGAGTTTTGAAAATCTTGGCCCCAGTGTTTGTGATTATGATCATTGTACCTTAGGTTTTCCCATCGAACATGCCTCTATGGGTAAGAGTAGGGCCTTTTTCCTGCCTTAGCTCTATTCATTGTCATTGCTCTGGATTTTTTGAGGCCTGAGCAGAATACGGGGCTACTTTGCAATCTGATCTTTCTGAAATAAACCTCATTCATTCTTCAAAGATCCAAAGCCTTTTCCCTTGAAAACAGGGAGCCAGTTAAGTTACACATAATGTAAAAGAAAAGCAAGGTAAAATCACACTGATTCAAGCCTCATAGAGAATGGAATGTATTTTCATATGAATCTGCTTGTTTCAGACCCCTGGTGAATAGCTTAGTGCAGTTAGAACCAATGTCTTTGTGCTGGTCTATGCTGCTGGCTCTCTGAAAAGGAAAAAAAAAAAAGGACCTTCTGAGATGTTTAACGTACATAAGGTCTGCAATATGTGCTGAGAGCTGGGATTAGCTCTAATGACTGGCATTTGTGGTTCAGAGATGATCCGATGTGGCCCAGCTTTCAGCCAAACGTGGCTTAGCTAGAGTAACTAAGGGGTCAGTGGAAATGAAGACAAAATGGCAACGCTGCTCAGGAAAGCAGGAAAATGATGTCTTGCTACTGGGCCAGATTGCCTGGTTCAGCCAAGTGCACGGGGTGCAAGATGGAAGGTGTCCGTAGGCAGTCTTTGAAGCCCCTTGACCGTCAGCCATCTCAGTGCTAGGCTGGTTTTCTGTCGCAGAGAAGCTGACAGCTAACAATCCAAATGGGCTGCTCCATGCTGCGCCAGCTCCTAAAGGAATTGCTGGGCTGGAGGAAACCAGTGATCCGTCTAGTCTAGTATCTCTGAGAGTGTCTAGGGCCAGTGGTAGGGGCAAGAAACCCAGGAGTCAACAGTTAATCCCATCGCTCGTGCCTCATCTTTATTTATTTGTATGAAATGGTTATAGTTATCTTTCAATTGTAACACAAGTGAAGGAGTGACTGTCATGTAAATTACATTACCATGGTATTTCCTTTGCTGCTCTAACATTGGATTGGATTGCTGTGAAATTAGGTGGTGAAGTGGTGTGTGTTTCTGGAGGGATGTCACCACTCAACTCGTAACAAATGCCTTTGTAAATAATCAGAGTTGCCCCAGATATTCCCTCTGTTAAGAATCCCGAGGAAAGCTGTGAATGACATAGTAGTGATGTTACCTACTTGAGAACACAAAATGGCAAAGATTGCAGTGGTGAGCCCCGTAAGTCTATGAATCCCTCGAAGGGCAAGGGGATTATGTAAAAGTATTAAAATGGCTATCAGTCACCTAAGCAAACAAGTTACATGTATTTTTCTCTTGGCTTGCAAGACCAACCTGTGTACTGCCCCTCCCTGCGTCATCTCTAATGTAAACACTTATCTTCTATGTTTCTGTCATGATCTCTATTTCACAGCATCATAGGAAACAAAAACACATTTAATTCTCACCTGTTAAATATGCAAACACCTGTTTACATATGACTATATAAATAAGGCACTTATAGTTGTTCTTTCCAACTAACTCACATTTGATGTGCCTCTGAAAAGCATTTGGCTACTGATATTTAGTGACTGTTGGGACTGTGGTTAATTAGTTAAATCAGATATTATACAATAGGTTATTTCAGTTGAGAAGCATTTAGAATGCATTATATTGATCTTTATTAAAAGCAACGTTGATCTTTCTTGTGGCACATTTCATAAAGGTTTTGGAGAAGACTGTTTTCAGAAGCAGGCACATATCACAGGCAGTAAGATACCAGAATTACTTAGGTCACCCAATTGTACTAGATAGATTTTTTTTTTTACAAGCACTTCTCTGATTGCTTCCTTTCCATTTGTTTATTTAGTTGGGTTTATTTCAAAGGTCTTTCCATTCCTCAGGGAAATTTTACAAAAATTACAACATGTATAGGTTTAGATCTTCAGCTGGTGTCAAAATAATTTCTAGGTTAAGACCAACATGTTAAACTCCACCCAGATATTTAAATCAATGGGAATTCTATGGATGAAGAGCTTGCAGTAAGGGACCCAATGAGTATATGGGAACTGAGGGAATTCTTGAAGTGCTAGGAATGATCTGGGAAGTATGTCTGTGTGTGACAGTACTCTACTGGAAGGAAATAAAGCTATTGAGCTAAGGGTATGTCTGCTTTGGAGCTGTAAAGGACAAAAACGTGCCCTAGCTTTGATCAAGCTAGCGTGCTAAAAATAGAAGTGTAGCCACAGCAGTGCAGGCAGCCAGAAGGGCTAGCTGCTCCGAGAATGATCCCATCCGAGAGGCTAGGCACCATACTTGGGGTGGCTAGCTCCTCCCACTGCTTTTGCCACAGCAGGAACGCTTCTTTTTTTAGTACTCTAATCCAACCTAGCATGGGTATGTCTCCTTGAGATGGGAATTACACCTCCTGATTCAAGTGTAGACATACCCTATGTGTCATAGGCCTTCTACCGCTGGCAGTTGATGATTTATGTTGAAGTGGTAGGTGCTAGTGCTTTTGGATCGGGATATTTCAAGTTCTCTTTCTGGTGTTACCATGAAATTGGACTGGTGCATGGACACAGTGATTGACAACATTGAAGTCCTATGTGGCCATGGATTTGTTATGATACTTGCCTACTTTATAGGGGTGTGTGATTCTTCAGTAATATGTGTAGTGTCATATCTTGGGATCTGGGTTATTCTGGTGGACTAGGAGAAGCTGCATATGTAGTAAAGTTTGTCATTAAAACTGCAGCCAAAAATTCACCAGATCCAGCGGGATACTGGTGCTGAATTAGAATTTTTGCAGATTTCTTGTACCAGTATGTCTTGGGGTAGAACACCAGAAGCAAAATTTGTTCTCACTGTTTGCTTGTGCTCCCCTGTCTGTCTCCACCTGTTGTCTCTTGTCTTATACTGGAACTTTTCTGCTTGGAAAAGAGACAACCAAGGCAGGATATGATAGAGGTCTATAAAATCATGATCGGTGTGGAGAAAGAAAATAAGGAAGTGTTATTTACTCCTCATAACACAAGGACGAGGGGTCACCCAATGAAATTAATAGGCAGCAGGTTTAAAACAAAAATTTCTTCACACAACGCACAGTCAACCCGTGGAACTTTTTGCCAGAAGATGTTGTGAAGGCCAAAACTATAACACGGTTAAAAAACCCAAACCCTAGATAAGTTCATGGAGGATAGATCCATTAATGGTTATTAGCCAGGATGGGCAGGGGTGGTGTCCCTAGCCTCTATTTGCCAGAAGCTGGGACTGAACGACTGGGGATGGATCACTTGATGATTCCCTGTTCTGTTCATTTCCTCTGGGTCACCTGACACTGACCACTGTCGGAAGACAGGATACTGGGCGAGATGGACCTTTGGTCTGACCCAGTATGGCCGTTCTTATGTTCTTATACTTAGATTGTAAATTCTCTGGGGCAGGGACCTACTCTTTGTTCTGTTTGTACAGTGCTTAGCCTAACAGGCTTAGTCATGACTGGGGCTCCTAACCCAATTGCAGTATAAATAATAATATCTTGATGGTGCGGTTTCTGGGTTTGTGACCAAAATTTGGGAGGATCCAGAGGCCACAGCTGTTTTTGCAGGGATATCACACACTGGGGGGCAGATTTTCTAAGGTGCAGCAGCGGGGGCTCAATTCCCTGTTTACTCTGTTGAATTTGGGGGCCTGGAGCCAGGAAGTGGCTGGATCCGGGGTGCTGGTTCTGGGGTTTAGTGGCACCAGGAGGCTTGCTGCCGCAGGAGTTGCCGCGCTGTGGCAGGAGCAGTTTCAAGGTATGCTGTATTTACTCCGCGCGGTTTGCAGGGGGGAGGCAGATTTTGGCTGGCTGTAGCTGTGGGATGAGGGATTGTGCAGAGCTGTCGCATGGGATCCGATGCATGGGGGGGGGGGGGTTGGGTTGTTCCGGCGCAGGAGAAGTCGCTAGATCTGGTCTCTGTGGAGGACGCACTTGGGGTATCACCATCCCCAGGCTCCGGCTCTTTCTTCCCCCTTCCTCAGCGCCGCACCCTCTAGGCAGCTGGGCGTCTCCGCTTCGACCAGGGCGAGGCGAGCTTGAGCTCCGCCAGTCACAGCCCGGATGTAGCAGCAGCAGCAGCCCGGTGCCGGCTCCCCCCCACGCCCCCAGCCGCCGCCTGCCAGGGACACACGCCGCGAGCCCGGGCTCGCCGGAACATGGCGCTCGGGGCGAGGGAGCGGCGGGCGCGGGAGGCGACGCGTGCAGCCCGGGCTCGCCTGACAGCCGGCCGCTAGGTAGGCGCGAGGCGGGGACGGGGCGGCCGGAGCCGCGCCGCAGGCTGGCTCGCGGGGCGTCAGCCCGGGTTTCCCGGGAGATGAAGCGGGGGGGGGGCTCGGAAGAATCGACGCCTAGATGGGCTGGTAGGGCTCGAGACCGCTCCCTGCAGCGAGAGCCGCCTTTGCAGAGAGACAGCCCGCCGGCGGGGGGGGGGGGGGTGCCGCGGTTTGGCCCTCGGGGCTTTACAGAATCGTGCTTTTGCCTGACAGATTAGGAAAGGGAGCCCCCCCCCCCCCGGTGCCCGAGCCCTCGGTGTTCTACAGAATGCAGCCTCGGCCGGGGGGGGGGGGTGACATGCACAAATGGACACGACTCCTTGCAATACTCATGTAGGTAGCTCTGTCCTGTCAATCCTGGACATCTGGGGACGCAAGTAAGAAGCGGGGGTATCAATAGTAACCATGCTGCTGCAGCAGTCTCCTGGGCTATATATATACAATGACATTTAAAACACACAGGATTTTTTGTTTGTTCGTTTTCTTACTGCAAAAAGCTCGGTGACCCTGTCATTTTAGGCACTGGGTGGGGGGAACTGGAATGCTTTCTGTTCGCAACTCTGGTGAAACCATGTCCTGTCTCTCAGTCTGATGGGAAAACTTACTTGTGTATTCAAAACAACTTTTGCTTTTGAGGTTTACTTTGTGTGTGGGGAGGGTGGGTTTTTTTTTTAATAGTGTCTACAGATAACCATCTAAAACAATGGAATAATTAGGATATGGTCACTTAACTAGTGAACATGCATATATGTTCTTTGAAAGCTGGTGTATGTAGCTGAAAACACAACAGCAACACTGCTTTGCATTGGCCAATGACATTAACATCATAGATGGATAGAAGATAAAATATTCTATAAAGTGTTATCTAGACATGCTTTCAATAAAAAGGGGAAGCATGAATCCTGAGGTATTAAAAGGTCTGGCTGCTTAAAAAGAAGCAACCCCACGTTAAGCTTTGTCAAAGTGTGTTGTAAAGAAATACATTTTAACTGGAAGTATTAAATACTGTATAACAGCCCAGTCTAAGACTAACACTTTGTGAGAGAGACAGTGCAGAGACAGGAAAGCTGGGCAAACTGCCAATAAAATCAATAGAAGATAATGCCAAGCCTCTTTGATAACACTGGCTTTAAAATCAAATCAAGCCCTCTCACGTCATTTATTTTTGTTTAATTGCTTTTATGAAAGGAGATGACTTTTTAATGTTTGCCACTTGTGCTGTATTTCTTCATGTCATACATGCATGTCACTCAGTGTGATGGGGAGAGTTTTATATAGAGTGTTTTAAAAATATCCACAGTTCCTTTGAATAATTTATCCCATGCGGGGGAAGAAACCCAAACCATTTCTACAAGGCCACTGACCTTGTGGTGGCATTAGAGAAGTATATGAGACATTTGACAATGTTGCTTGATGAAGAAAGTACTGGGGAAAGAAATCATATCAAGCACTTCATAACCATGAGCTTTAAAAGGTAGAAGGAGGGTTTGGTTTGTGTGCCTGCATTTGAGGCATATGGAGAGGGAACCTGGGTGTGAGAAAGGGTTCTTAGGAAAGTCCTGAATTAAACATGTTAGAAATGGTAGAAAATATTGAAATGTGCAGAAACAGAATAATTTAAAATATATTGAGGAATGTTGACAAGAGTATCAGGGGCTATTTTGACAAATCTTTGAGGGAGTAATTTTTAAAGTAATAGTTCTGTGCAAATTGTTTGTTTGGTCTGAATCATGGGCAAGATTTTCTCAAGTGGCTGTTGATTTTGGGGTGCCTCATCTTTTGGGAGCCAAACTTGATATTTAGGGGAAGATGGTTCAGAACTCTCTGAACATCAGGCCCCTTTAAGGTGTCACCTGAAAAAGTGAGGCACCCAAAATCTTGAGTCACTTGAAAATCTGGGTCAATATACTTGCAGATACTCCGCTTTTGTCTTGCTGTGCAGACAAATATGGGTTTGGAAATTGTCTTCATGTATTTTAGGTATCCTTTTTTGTCTCATTAGCTTTGAGCATGAGAATCAAAAGCAAAAGTATCATGCAATGACATGTATGGTAATTTGAAGGTTCTCAAACTTGTTCATAGGGTGGACCACACATGAATTGTGAGTTTTTCTCATGAACCACCTCCTCTTCTATTCACAAATACACAGACCACCCTTCTTCCCAGTCATGGTCATATAACATCCCTGTGCTTACATGGAAAATTAATATATAGAAAGTATTTGGGATGGCATTTTCCAAAGCACTCAGAGTTGGCCTAACTTTTCTCCCACTGATGTCCATGATAAAACTCCCGTTGACTTGAATGGGCCCAGAGTTAGGCCAACACTGAACACTTGTGAAAATCCCACCCTTAATTTTAGTTTCTTTTTAATGTGATTTAGCAGCTGGAAATAAGGAGGAGAACTAGCACTGTGTGAGCAGACAGATGTCCATGGCCCATTAATAGGCCCTCCCGGGACGCTGCAGGTGGGAATGAGCCTTCCAGCCTGGCAAGACCTACTCATGCTAGTGGGGCTTGAGCACGTATGCTAAAAATAGCTCATTCCCAGCTGTAGTGTAGACATACCCAATTAGGGAGCCACTGTGCCAAACTCTAGCTTTTTCCACAGCCATTACTGTAGTGTGAAACTTTTGTCAGTAACTGCCCAGGACAAGGGAAACATCACTGTGCCATCCTTGACTATCTGCGTATCCTTGTTGGTGGAGCTGGTTGTGGGTGAGGTTAACAGCTCGATGCATTTTGGTATCAGTGACAGATGTTTCATAGCATAGGAAATCCCTACATTGAGGTTAGGAAACTCAAGAACTCCCTGTTGCTGGGTTGCCTCTAGTAGTGATAGGGGATTTAGAGCCCTAAAGGAGTGGATTTCCTGGGGTCCACTTGCATCTTGCCATGCCCGTGGAGGTACTAGCCCTGCACACAGCTGCCTTGTCCCCCACCCCATGGTAACCTGGCTTGTGTGTTTCTACTGATTGGCCATGCTGCACCAGAGGGAAAGGTGGACAAGTATCCAGGTGTATGTGCTTGGATGTCCACCACCTGTGGAGGAAAGCTTCATATTTTCCTGAAGTCACCCTGCAACCCGTGCAGAGCCCCAGCTGTGGTGGGCTCCAGAAGACGAGTCCTAGGGAAGGCAGGGTGTGCTGCAGAGCTTCTTCCCCCAGTTCCATGCTCAGCTCATTGCTCCGTTGTGACTCCCCTCTAGTTAAGATACTTGTGTGACCCATATTGCCAGAGCTTTGGTGCAGCTCCCAGTCTTTATTGTATTTATTTCTTCACAACCCCCGGTGAGGTATTATCCCCATTTCACAGATGAGGCACAAAGAAGCTAAGTGACTTGTCCAAGCTCAGACAGGAAGTCTGTGGCAGAGCAGGGAATTGAACGTGGGTCTCCTAGTTCCCTAACCACTGGACTGTCCTTCCTCTTTGCAGAAGGTTACAGTAATGTTATTTTTTTGTTCCTTAAATGGTTCTTAACTTCTGCATTGTTGTTCCTGCAATGGGCTTTGTTCTGGCTTTCAAATTTGCAGTGGGCTTCCTAGGTGTGTTTTGTTTTGTTTTAGTTTCAGGAGCACTGGCCACTGTCTCCACTGTGAAGATCCATGACTTGATGAATGTTTATGTTTGGCTGAAACATCAGGATACCAGTGGCTAACCCTAATGAAAATCAGCATGGAAATACATATTGAGCAAGTTTCTTGCAAAGCATATTATTCTGCAACTATTATTTTGAGACTTCAGAAAAAATGCATTATTCATCCATCACAGGACTCTCACTGCTGCTGTCATGTATTCTTTTTAGCATCAGTTTTAAATGAGTTCAGCCCTGATCCAGTGGTCCTTTATTCAGAGGAACTCCAAATTACTGAAGTTTTGCCTGTGAAAAGACATGGACATAGACACTTTACCGGCAATATTCAATTTCAGTGAAGCTTGGTCCCATGTAAAAAGCTCTGATTCCCTTTTTCCCCTTTTGCTTTCTCTCGCTTGCTCTCACACACATACGCTTGAAACTCAAGTTGACTCTGATGGAGTCTATTATCATTCATTTGAAGTTTTTACAATAGAGAATCCCAACTATTTGGCAAGAATTTGGCATGTGCTTATTAAAATCCATAAAGTGATGCTGTCGCGCGTTTTAGTCGGGTCTTTGTGCTTTTGATTTTTAATTTTTTTTAAACAAAATGTCAGACCATTGAGGGACACAAACAAGTATGCTGGCACACGTTTTCTATGCATTTTTGGTTTAATGAGTAAACTGAGTGTGTTGGGTATAAATAAATGTACACTTCTAAGAGAGGAACTAGTATAGAAATCACCAAGACACACAATCCACACTTTTAGGATCCAACCTGGTGCTGTACATGAATCCACAGAATGTCTTTGCAATAGTACCTGATTTGATTGCTGTTGAAATAATTGGAAGACTGTTAATTAACTAGGAGAACATAAAATCATGGAAACATAGCTATCTAAGCCTGGAAGGGACCTCGAGTGGTTATCTAGACCAGGGATTCTCAACCAGGGGTCCGGGACCCTCTGCGGGGCTGTGAGCAGGTTTCAGGGGGTCTGCTAAGCAGGACCAGTGTTAGACTTGTTGGGGCCCAGGCAGAAAGCTGAAGTCCCACTACATGGGGCTGAAGTCAGGGGCCCTGAGCAACTTAGCTTCACAGTGCCCCCTGTAGCATGGGATCCTGGGCAATTGCCCTGCTCACTACCCCTTAACGCCGGCCCTGGCTTTTATATGCCGAAAACCAGTTATTGTGGCACAGGTGGGCCGTGGAGATTTTATAGCACGTTTGGGGGGCCTCAGAAAGAAAAAGGTTGAAAACCTTTGATCTAGTCCATCTCCTTGTACTGAGACAGGATTGAGTATACCTAGACCCTCCCTGATAGGTGTTTGTCCAGCCGGTTCTTAAAAGCCTCCAATGATGGGGACTCTACAACCTCCACTGGTA